GGTCAGGCCAAGAAAGATCAAAAAAGCAATTTTACTATGAAGGTAAAGATAAATTCGTGAAGTCGGTAATGGAGTCGTTTTACGGACGTCTTAATTATGTTGCAACGTCTCAGACCAAATCAGGCGTCTTAAAGACATTCGGTGAAGATATCTTTATTAGAACGTCCTAGTGACGTCTACATCAAGTAGACGTCACTAGGGCGTCCTAATAAAGACGTCACTAGGACGTCCATTATTAGGATATCCTTATTTAAACGTCCGATTGACGTCCGTTAGACCTACTTTAGACATTCTAATCAACTTAGAAATAAATCATCTAAAAGACATTTAAAGGATGTCTTTAAAAACATTTAAATTATCTATAGATAAATTTATATATAAACTTTGCGTATTAAAGATAATGCGCTAACTTAGTTAATTAAAAATGTCTACTTGTTCTTGTCATTTATTAACTTTGGTTGGTTATTTATCGTTTAAAGTTATTTTTCAATTTTCTATAAAATGTTTTAAATGAAAGAAAATTGAGTTTAGTTGTTAAATGTAAATAAGTTGCCAGTATAGTGAGGGAATGTACATAGCGCAACAAGCGAAAGATAAAATCATTTCAGGCTGCTTAACTGTAGGATTAGCATTACTTTGTCATTTAGCTAGCGATTTGTTATAGCTATTGACGTTAGACAATATAATTTTTTTGAACTTTACTTGCTTATATCTTTTTTTAAGGTTAAGCATGCAACTTGAGATTTTTTTGCATTAATTAGTTTAACTCAACCTCTTTCCAACCATATATAAAAAGTACTATGCTTTATATCCCGACAAAAAAGGTATATGTGGGCCACATGTGTCCATAGTGGAATAAAAGTGTGAAACTATATTCCAGTTGATGATTTATAAATATGATAATGGTCAGTGTTGCCCACATGTGGAACACATAATGCATCCACATAATTATTCCCAATAGTGTGGTATAATCTTTAAATAAATACGTGGTAAATTAGATGTGGCTATCATATGGGCCATTCATATAAAGCACACAATCTAGCCTCATTTTAAATTTTAAATTTCAACCAATTTTAAACTATGATTCTATTGCAATGTATTGTATTAAACTTAAGAATATTCCATGATATCACGTGGTATGTTTGATCGGTTTTGTAATGAATATATTTAAGAATTGTTATTAAAAATAAACTTTCAATAAAATTTGTAAATTAGAGTTACACTTAATGAATAAAATTTTTTGTTATGCTTGATTAATTATACTTATTCAAAACAGAGTTATACTTAAAGAAGATTTAGTAGCCGTAGCGCAGTGGTTTAGTAGCCATAGCGCAGTGGTAGCGCATTTGTCTCAGAAGCGTGAGACCCGTAGTTCAAACCCCACTTCTTGGCAAGTTCTGCGACATCGGTTTGGAACAAGGTGTGAACTTTCTATTAAATACTCTTCCGCGGTGCCTAGTGATAAGGTCATAAGAACATTTTGGGACACCTAAAAAATAAAAAAATATAAAAAATATAAAAATATCTTAATACGTTGTGTTTGCTACCAGAAAACAACGTTAGAGTTAAAAAGTGCGGGCAATATAAGCAAGCTTTCGTTATTATTGATTTTTTCTCTCGATTTTGTTTGCACATGGATTTCATATAAAACTATCTTTATCTACTATTCGAAGACATTCACTAGATTAGTTTTGTGTACAGAAATAATACAGAATGAATTTTTTAAATTTAATGAAAAGTTATTGTATGTATATATTTATCTATGAATAAAATTATAAATAAAAGCAAAAAGTATTATTCCATTTAAGTTATTTAACTGGTATTCTTATATAAATTAGTATACATACAGTATGATACTTATTTGTATAGGTATATATGTATAATTATTTGTATATTCTGTACATAGGCAAATCTACTGACTTGCTTAAATATGATGTTTAAACAAGTCAGAAGATTTGTTTATGTATTTGTTATAAATTGTTGGAAAATAATGCGGCTTTTGTTCTTATTTAATGTGGTTTTATTGGGAGAAACATTTTAGCCAATACCATCCCATAAAGGAGAGTGGTAAATATATGGTTAACTTGCAATTGCCATACATGGCCCACATGAAAATCTTTTGTAGGGTTCACTTATATAATTTACTTCTCAGAATTTCATAGAAAAGTTATGTTTCACTTTCTGAAATAAAAAAAAACTTGTTGGTTGATAGAATGGTACAGTTCTATAATGATCCAGAAGAAAATTTTAAACAATGTAAAAGTTGAGAGGAATCTAGTGTTTTAGAAAAAACAGTTGTTGATGTGGGTATTCAATAAAGTGCTTTTTGTATTCTTTATTATAGTTATTTAATCTTTTATGTTTATTTCATAGTTTTTTTTCAAATTGTCTTGACAGTATTGATGTTCATATTGATGAAGATATATTTATATAATATCTTATGAAGATATTTTATATTGGTTTGTAGGTAAAACAGTTATCATTAATTGGTAGTAAAAATCCATGTAATGCAATAAAAACTATTTTGCTCACATAAGTTTCTTTTTTTCTATAAGCTCCCAATAAGCTTATTGGGAGTATAATTAAATATTCTTCCGAACAATTAAAGATGATATTATCTAATATTGATTAGTGATGATTGAATTCACTTATAATTTAAGTTTTTTTTTTTTTTTTTTGTATTTTTTATAATTTAAGTTTTATTTTTTTAAATTTTTTATTTTATAATATATTATCTATAATTCTTTATACTCTTATAATTCTTTATGAATGTCTCTATAGCTAGATAGAATCAATTCTGTTAAGATCTTGGAAAGATCGGCAAGTGCATGTGGCAAAAAAGCAATTTCTGTAAAGTTTTACTTCAAATAATATTTTACACTTATTTAATTAAAACACAATTTAAACGTAATTCATACGTCTTGTAATAAGACGACTTAAGGACGGCGAAAAAAAGACGTCATAAATAGTTTCACCCAGATACGTTCATAACACGAATAAAAAAAAGTCTTACGAACGTCCGTAAAAGACGTCTTAAGGACGTCTATAGAAGACGTCCCTAAGTTTATTATCTGAGACTAAGGACGTCTTATGGACAAGAAACTGAAGGTCTTATAGACATCGTTAAGATGTCTGTGTGCCCGCTGGGCTAAAGTAAATTTATATTTTGTAGTTTTAGACACAGCAGTTAATTCTTTGCGAGGAACATTCGAACAGATGGAAAATCAGTTCAAACATTTTGAATTCCTCAATAATATAACAAAATAAAAAAAGTAAAACAGATGTAGGTAAAGAAAAGTGCAAAAACCTTCATTCCATTTTGACAACTGATGGCAAGAGTAATCTTAGCTCCAATGTTGCCAAACAATAGATACCCCAAAGCAACATTGTCATTGTCAAAAATGTTTGGTTGACATCATTCCTCATGTGTGTGTAGCATTGTAAATTTTGCTTTTGTTCCCGGTACAGTCGCCAGCGGAAAATGGAGTTTTTCTAAATTGAAAATTATTAAAAATTACCTTTGAATTACCATTTCTCAGGATCGCATATGTGGATGGCCACATTAGCAATTGAACACCAGGTTCTGAGTACAATTGAAACCGATTCATTTTTGAAAGACGTTTGGAAGAAAAGTTTGTTAATTGATGATACATTTAATTTTTGTCTTTAAAAAATTAACCATATGTATTTGTTGATTTCTTTAACTAAAAATGTATTTTACGACGTTTACAATTCTGTAATCAGTTTGTTTACAATTACATTACGTAATTAATTTACGTTTACAATTCTGTAATCAGCACTTTACGATTCCTTAGAGTACGGTACATATTTATTAGGATATTATGTTTTTATTGTATTTTAGGGGTTTTAATAAATATGCGCAATTCACCAAAACACATTATATGATAAGTTAATAATAAACATACCATTATATTTTGGTTTTTTCATAATAATAACTGTCCTGAAAAAATATTGGTTTATTAACATACTCTGCTTTACTGTTCATTTTAATTTTTAAGAAACAATCATGTTAATAATACTTATCCTATTTTTTAAAAACTTATAAAAACATTAAACCCTCAAAATATTTTTTATAGAATTTTCAAAGGATACACTTTTTTTTATGATGAGATGCGCCAAACCTTGATCTCGCATATACAAAAAAAATCCTTGAACCATTCCTGATATAGATATATTGATAAATTGTAATTACGTTTATACTGTTGTTTTACGTAAGAGTCGTATTGTAAAACGAGTTCAATTTATTATAATTAATATATTATATACAAATATGCAATAAACACAAGAAAGATATTGTAGATCACAGCTAGTAGTAGAACAGTTGCTCGAGTCCGTTGATGTTTGATAGGTTACTCCTAGAGAGCGAGACTTCGATAAACACGCTATTTATACATATTCCCAAGAGGGACATTAATTGTTTAGTATAATCAGCCAATTCAAATAATTTACGTTTACGATAATTTGATTAGCGCAACATATACTAAAGATTAATAAGCTAAGAGCATTAGTTTGATCTGCAACATGGTCTACAATATGACGCCATCTAACAACAATCTATGGTGTCCAAAGTTCTTAATTCTATTTGATGCATTAAAAACCTTGTTTGCACAATTTCAATTGTTTTAATATGAGAACCTTCAAAAGTGTATATAACGAAACCAATTATTTCATTTTATAACAAAGGTTTTAAGAGGTTTATATTTAAAAAACTTGCAAAGTTTTTTTCTTGATCAAAACGATTTATTTTATAATTATAAAAAATGTAATTGTTAAATTAGATCTTGTGATGAAAATAAACTAGTTATAATATATCCTACTATATTATAAATAATTTTTGTTTTTAAACTCTTTAAAAATTTTTAATCAAATGTTATTTTTTTAATACTTGCCCTTTTTTTTTCTACTTGATTGATCATGCGTCGAAAACAAGATTAAGTTTAAGTTTAGGTCTAAATTTCATTTCTGTGACCTAAAGAAGCTTAAAAAAAGCATTTATAATCAAGTATGAAATAATGAATAATAAAAAAGCTTCAAAAAAAAATCATTTGTAACTAGGTATGAAAAAATGAATAGAGCCCAGTTTTACATTATAATTGTTTTTATATTTTGTTTGGTTTTTAACGCAAGATTAACTTTAAAACAAGAAATAAATACAAGTTTACTGACGACAAATTTATCCAATAATATTTCTAAAAGTCTGCCAACACCTAAAGAAACACCAACCTTAAAAAACCCACCACCAATACCTAAGCAATCAACTATCCCACCACCAACACCTAAACAAACACCAATCTTACCATCGACTTTGAAAACAACATCAACACTAATGTCATTATTTAAACCGACACACAAACAAACATTATCACCTGTATCTAAAGAAACAAATAATAAAAATGATGGAGTTACCTTCCAAATGGCTTATAAAAAATTCTTTCAGTTTTTAATAATTACAAAAAAAAAGTTTGATGCTTGGTTAGAGTCAAATACATTAGAACCTCAAACAACGCTGAATATAATATGGCTTTTTGTTTTTATACTAATTATTACGTTTTGCTGTTTTATTTGTAGATATTGCTGCAAAAAAAAAAAGAAAGATAAAGATTTCAAGGATAAATTAGACCTAAAACAAGATCATTTGTTTGGACCAAATTATGCGGAACGCATACGACCTAAAGTTGAAGAAATCGATTATAATATTGAAAACACAATGCTTGGCGATAATGCCACTGTAAAAGTAGCTAAAATTAAATTTTCGCTAGAATTTAATTTTGAGAAAAACATTGCTAAGATAATTATTTATAAGTGTAAAGATTTACCCGGAATGGACAAGTCTGGTTATTCAGATCCGTATGTTAAAGGTTTTTTAAAGTTAGGTAATTCTAAAATAAAAGATTTTGAAACAAAAGTTAAATCGATGACACACAATCCTATATTTGATGAAACAATTACTGTGGATAACGTAAAGTATACAGACCTTTCCACAAGTACTTTAACGCTTAAAGTATTTGACAGCAATCGATTGATGCGTGATCAGTTGATTGGTGAAGCAAATATTTTGGTTAAGGATATTAATTTAACTAAAGGTAAAGTTACTGAATGGAAAATTTTAACACCTGAATTGAGAGTTAATAAATTTAGTAAAGATTTTAAACTAGGACATATTTGTATAGGCTTGGGGTATGCTCCAAATACATGCGCACTTGTTGTATTTGTTTTATGTTGTCAAAATATAAAAGCAGTTTTTAAAAGTTCTTCTAATCCTTACGTAACAGTGTTTTTAATACAAGATGGTAGAAAAGTAAAAAAAAGAAAAACAACAATCAAACGAAAAAATTCAAATCCTTCATTTAGCGAATCTTTTACTTTTGAAGTTAACAATGAAAAAATTAAAGAAACTTCTTTGATGTTTGTTGTTGCGCACTATGAAAAAGACCAACCAAGAGAAACCATAGGTCAAACAATAATTGGTTGTCTTGGTAAAAGACAAGAAATAGAACATTGGAAGCTGATGCAACAGTCTCCAGGAAAACCAGTCTGTCTTTGGCATATGTTATATCCAGTGCCAAAACCAGAATAATTTTTTAAGAGAAAAATTTTTTTGAATAAAATGATTATTATTTCATTTTTTATTGTTTTGAAGATTAAACCCCCTAATAGGGGTTTTAAAAAAGCTGTAGAAACCATGCGTAATCTTTGCATAGTTGTACAGGCTGGGTAGGTGTTTAGTTCTTGTATTCTTGTGTTTATAAGTTCTAATAATTTTCTTAGTCAAGAATATCATTGAAAACTATGTAGTGAAAAAATTGACGAATTAGAAAGGGGTATGAATGTTTACCCTAGTACTTTTAAAAGAAAAAATTCGCTTGTTAAAGAATATCGCTTGGTAAGGAATATGGGTAGATACTCCTTATCATTTAAAAAAGCCACTTTTTTTCTTAACTCGTCGTTTCCTGTAATTATAATATTACATGAAACAAAGAAATTATAATTGCATAGAAAGCAACGAAAGCGATAAGAGGCAGGGGCCGATCTAGCACTTTTTGATTTTTGATTTCCAGGCAGGGAGCAAACTCTAAACATTTAAATGTCTATACTTTTTTCAAATAAGGATGCTTCGCAAAAAATTGCGATGATTCAAGCCTGGGAATAAATAACCTTAAAAACATTTTCAGCTAAACCATACCTGGCTTTCTTTTATGATGATATTACTTTAGATATGCTAAAAATATTAAAACTTGTTAAGATTCTATTAAAAGAAATATTTAATTAAAAAAGTTAATTAATTAATTGGCTAGAAAATGTATAATTTATATTGGATTATACATCATATTATTTTCTTCATATTAATTTATATATATATATATATATATATATATATATATATATATATATATATATATATATATATATATATTCAAGTGGGTCATAAAACTGTTTTTAGAGTTGCTAACCTGGCTATGGTCTAGAAAGTTGTTTTTTTATGTACTAATTTAGAAAAGTATTTACTTTTATGGATTGAACAATGTCTTCCACCCGCAACTATAATAATTATAGTTGCGGGTGGAAGACATTGTTTAATCCATAAAAGTAAATACTTTAATCCATAAAATACTTTAAATACTTTAATCCATAAATCCATAAACCGTAAATACTTTAATCCATAAAAGTAAATACTATAAAAATTATTATTTTTGAAATTATTATAAAATTTCGCTTTATTTGAGTACCTACATTACATAATTTTAAAAAACTTTTTTTTTGAATAATAATAGGGCCTGCTAATTTTTGTAATTATTACAAAAATTAGCAGGCCCTATTATTATAATTTTAAAAAACTTTTTTTTGAATAATAATAGGGCCTGCTAATTTTTGTAATTATTACAAAAATTAGCAGGCCCTATTATTATTCAAAAAAAAAGTTTTTTAAAATTATGTGATGTAGGTACTCAAATAAAGCGAAATTTTATAATAATTTCAAAAATAATAATATTTATATGAAAAAAATTATTATTTTTGATTTTATTGCATAATAACTATAGTTTTTTAACTAAAAGTGAAAAAGGTGCATTTTTACATGTTTTTTAATGACAATTTTTTTCAACAATATGATTTTTATAAAACGATTATTATTTTCAAATTTTTTATAAAATTTCGCTTCTTTTGAGTACCAGGTTGAAATACTTTTAAAAAACTTTTTTTCTCCAAAATATTAGGGTACCGGTAATTTTCCCAATAAAGTTGCGCCCTTTAAATCACAATCATTCTCATATTTGATAGTATCAATATTAATAACTATTAGCAATGTTTAGAGCCTGTAACAAGAAAAAAAATTTTTTGACCCACCCTAATATATATATTTAGTAGTATTAAACTAAAGCTATAAAAAATTTTCTCAATTGATTTTTTTTACAAATTTTTTGACATATTTATTTAAACAAACTAATAACAATAAATAAACTTTAAAATATAAACAGGTTTATGAGATAAGTAAATGTATTATAAATGTATACTATATACATTATAGAGCCCTAAGTACGATTAAACTATGGTAATTATATGTTTTAAAATTCTTAATTTTAAAACATATAATTGCAGCAATATTTTTTTATTAATGGTTAAACTAATCTGATGAAATTTGATCAAAAATAGAAATAGAAAAGAAGAAAACAGATGATGATGGGGATAATAGATGAAATAGATGACAGGGATGTTGGTTAAAAGTTGTTTCAATTACATTTTTCAATTTCTAAACATACTCTTTTATTGCGCAGATCCTTACGTTTAAAAATATAAATTATTTTTAAAATATTTGCACAAACATTTTTGATATTTTTGTTTACAATAGATAAAACTAAAGGGTAGGGGTCATTCTTTTATTGCTTTACTTAAAATTACCTAGGTAAATGTACCAGTAATTGACCTCTTAAGAAAAAAATTCCATATGACTGTCATTTCTTTAGGATTGTTTGCTAGTTATGCATTCTTAATAGTTCCAACAGCTTACCATACTATCTTCTAGCATAATGATAAGCAATATGCACTATTATATACACATAACGTGCACTATTTTCAAAGAAAATGGCTACTTTTCATACTCTACATTAACAAAGTCATTCTTCTGCAGAGTTACTTTATTTGAAGAATCTGTATAACAGTCAGAATCTTCCCCATTGTTAAGCTCAGCAATGAAATTAATGCAGCCGTGGCGCAGTGGTCACAGCGCTTGGGGGTCGTCCATAAAGTACGTACGCTTTTTTTTTCGCCAACCCCTCCCCCCCTCCCTCCCCCCCCGCAATTTGCCGTATGCTTTTTTTAGTACTCTCTACCTCTTTAAAAGTACCTACGCTTTTAACCTACTAATCCAACATTTTATGATATTTTTTTTAATTTAGTGTCTCCATACTTTTATAATTGACCTACTGCCCCCTTATCTCAGAAACGCCATTTGCAGACCTCCTCTTCCTCTCCGAGCGTACGTACTTTATGGACGATCCCTTGCTTTATAAGCAGAAGATCCAGGTTCGAAACGAGCTCTGAATATATTTCGCGTCACGGTAAGGAAGGAGGCCTGAACTTGCTGATTAAATGCACTTCCGCGGTGCTCTGTGACAAAACCTTTAGGTCTTCATGGAGCACCTAAATAACAAAAAAAAAAATAATTTTATAAATTGATAAGTCTGACTCTTCATATTGTTTTTGTTTCTTGATTTTTTGAAAGAGAATGAGAGGTGGAAAAAAGTAAAAAAAAAAAAGAAAAAAGTTTCTTTCCAATTTTTTATTAACACTCATTCTGTTTTATTTTCTCTTTGTTTTTTCTTTCCTTTTCAGCTGTTATTTCTAGTTAAAAAAAATATATATTAAAAAAATAGTGGTCTAATAAATCATAATAATATGAAACATGAATAACGCGATGAGTTAAGATAAACAAAGGAATTATTGAGTAATCCTTGTTCAAAGCGGCCAAATGTTTGTCGCGTTTACGTGTGTTCAGCCAAATGACATTCTGCCAGAAAAATAGCTTATTTAAACAATTATTCTTCTAAATGGCCATCGTCAACGACTCCCTTACAATCTTAATTTGGAACAATTTGTTTACCTCTAAGGTTTAGTTTGCAGAGACCCAGATGATGAGTGACATTACAGACGACGTGTGTTTCATGTTATTGGAATAACAACAAAAAAAAATTAATACGAGTGATATGTTGAATCTTAAAAATTGGTGAACTGTTTTTTATAATAAAAAATTTTTAATGAAAAGAAAGGAAAACAAATTAAAAAGTACAAAAAATTTATTTTTCCACCTAAAATTGCACTTATTAAACAAGACAAACAGGCTATGTTATTAAGCAGAACAAACAAACTATTTTATTAAAAAAGACAAACAGGCTATGTTATTGGGTGACTTATTATAGATTTAATTTTTATAAGTGATGATAAATAAATTTTATGTTTGATAAAAAATTAACTATGATAATAGTAATTAAATACTTATAGTTATAATATTACAGCAATTAAAATGTAAAACTTGTATAAATAACGACGGTTATACTGGACAGAATAATCTCTCGAATCCATTCAACAGGATTTCAATCAGTTTTAACAAATGAGAAAAGGTTGGAGAGCATAGTCCAATTTAAATTGCAGCGCTAAAAAACGCAGTTGTTGCTTACAACTACAAACATTTATAAAGTATCTTTCAATTTGTAGGTAGCTTGTAAAAAGTACAATATTAACCCAATTGTTTAACATAATTTTTTGATATATTTGGTGATATATGACATGCAAAATATAAATAATAATTTAACTACATAGACCAGAAATTTTATTTTACGGTGATAAAAAGATTGGGAAAACCCATCAAATACTAATAGCCTTAATCTAAAATATGGTTCCATTCTTAGCCTAGAGTATGGACTTTAGTTTTTTGAATTATGTTAAAGTAGATCTAAATTCATCGGCGTCAAATTTCATCAAAAAAAAAATCTTGTTGTTTAAAAGTTACGACCATTCAAAGTTATTTCAGGGAGAAAATGAGAGGAAATTTAAACTTTACATGGTCATAAATTAAACGAAAGGAGATTTTTTAATGAAATTTAAAAACTTTTGGTAAATTTTGTTCTGATTTATAATAGAAATTAAAAAAAGTACAATCTTAGGAGACGTAGTTCGAGGACGCGGCAAGAAGGGGTTGGATTAGCTCCAACTGCCTAATTTTTTTGCAAGTCATTCTCATTTGACACCAGTATTAAATTTATGTATTCCACATTAGTTACCTATCTTGAATAACAAAATAACTCGTCTAAAATACTTGATTTATACCCAGGCTTTCGGTGAAAATAGTTGTTTTTTTACATTTTTGGAATGAGAAAGAGTTATTTAATGATAAATAAAAAAACTCTTGGAAATAGTTAGTAAACCTATTGATATATATATATATATATATAAGTCAATAGGTTTATATATATATTATTATTATATATATATTATTATTATATATATATTATTATTATATATATATTATTATTATATATATATTATTATTATATATATATTATTATTATATATATATATATATATATATATATATATATATATATATATATATATATATATATATATATA